GTTAATGGAGGATGATATCTTCAGTGTAGCTCACGTCGACTAGTGAGCCGCCTGGTACAATCGTAAACTCATGTAGCGTATTTAAGGAATTCATTGCGATATACGTTTATTTAGAACGACATTATAATTCACCATGTATCCTCCATCTAATTGACGCCTGAACAGCTGAATTTTGCTGAGCCATGAAACATGTTGAACACCACGCATCGATTCAGTCAACCTCTTAACCCTGTTTGAATGCATTTCTAAACAAACTGGAAGTTCCACGAAAAAAACATGTTATTTGGTTGCAAACATTTCCTTGATAAACCAAACGCCATAATTGCCAGGACGAAACAAAATATTCTCAAGATGCCATAAGCTGACACAGTTGTTGTTGTCATCAGGAAAGGGAAGTTCTACGGTGGAAGTGATTGAGAATAAATACACCTAGAAAACTAAAAACCTCTGAGGCTTGCTTCGATTCAAGTTGCCGAAGACACCAAACGTATATCGAATTGCGGAGTTGAAAGCACTCTCGAATATATCCTAGTTTGCAAAACATGTGAATGCCATTTCAGTAGTTGGTTCATGCTGCCCTCCCTGCTGTTAATTTCTTTAGCCGTTCCTAATTTACTCTTTAGGTTACGAACTCAGCAAGATAGAAGGAAAACTTGGCTCGCCAGAGAAGCCCCTTAGCGACTTGGGCCTCTTGTCTTATCGCTCATACTGGGCAATGACTCTCATGGATATATTTCTATCGACTAAGCCCTCGGAACCAGGACAGGAGCCTGCAATTAGCATCAAGTGAGTTTCGCGGCTTTTAAAATCTTGTAACTTTAGCATGACTTGGTTAATCGCTTGATACCTGGGGCATACATCTTGTTTGCGTCAGAAACAGGTTACTTTAATTTTGGTTAAAATATGTTTTGTGTCAAATTCTGCCAAAGCTGGTAGCTCTCTCTTAATATATACTTATAAGTCACTAAACGCAAGGGAGCCTTTGTCTTAGTGTAGGTATCACAAGGGTAGTCTTGAGCAACTTTCTGACTCGGCCGTACGAACCGTCAAACAGGCTGTCATCAATTGTTCATTTTTATGAAGGAAAAGATTGACGTACGCCTTTGAGCTCCCAAGTGGTAACAAAGTGGCTAAGATATTCATAAATATAGAAAGATTCTGAAAAGAGGT